TGGGAGAAATTTGTCATGGTCAATTCACCGGAAATAGAACCACAAACACCAATAAATCTTTCTTACCATGCCGGCTATGGTTTCTCGATTCGGTCCTGGCCAAGAACGTCCTACCCGTGCCAGGCCATTCCGAGCGAAAGGGGGAATTTCTGAAAACCCTCTACTATGCTGAAAAGGAGTGTTGGTTTTGTGTCCCACAACTTGTCTGGGACCAATTGCTAAAAATCTATAATGAATTAATCTTGGTTCGGTCGCGCACCACCATCACCTGGGCATTCCCATTTCCATACCTTATTACAAGGTTGCTAAAAAACATGGGGTTCCGAGCTCCCCGTGGTGAACAGAAAGAGAAATATGTGTTGAACTTCAACCTTTGGGTCTGGAAGTCTAGCACAGCTCAACTTCAGACGTCCCGTCAGACCCGCATTGGTGACGAGTTGGATTGGGGTGCTCCGGCTCCCCCTGTGGCTCCTACTCCTCCTCCTCCTGATACCCCCGCTTCTCCAACTGCCCCTTTTGTCCCGCCGCCGGATGTCATGACTCACGCCGACTATCTTGCCTTAGATGCTCGTCTCGATGCCTTTTCCTTGCACTTTGATGCTATAGAGGGTGCCGTCCAGAAAACTCAGGAGAATCAAGAGATTTTGCAGGCTATGCTCCAGTCATTGATTGACCGTGCACCTGGCCCACCTGGTCCCTCCTCCTCTACCCCAATGGTGGAGTGATTTCATTTTTCTTATTTCCCGTTTTAGTAGTACTTTTTAGACTTATTTTGGGCCGCGTTTGCATTTGTTTTTCAGTTTTTCTTTGGCACTTATAACTGCATCACTTTTGCTATTTTGCATGGTTTATCATTTTTAGTCAAATAAATTGCAGTTATTTTCATTAAATTTGGATTCATATGATTCTTGTCTTGTATAGATATCTTTTGACATGTTTTTGAAACCAAGTTTGGGGGCATGCTCCGGGAATTTACGAGCTGGCCTATTTTTGCACTGCCACTCCAATCCTATCAACTTGGTACTATTGTTCCTTTCCTCCTTTGTTCATTCTCTTTGCTTGTCCTTTGTCTTCTCACATTGGGGACAATGTGACATTCAAGTTTGGGGGTGCATGAGCATGTTATTGCAGTTTTGATATTCTTTGCTCATTTGATATTTTTGATCATTTTTTATGCTAGTAAGTTAATAAAATCATTTTGTTTAAAGGGAACTTTTTGAAGGATGAAGCATGTGCTTAATACTTTGTGTATGGAAGCCAAGACAAATTTTTTGAAAATAAAGAAATTTTTTTTTGAATTAAACATGTTGATTCATAGTCGATTTGTATAAATATTTCAATTAAATTTTCGTCGGATTTCATACTCTGTTATGCTTCACATTGCACATTTGCACACCGGAAACCTAATTGTGAGGTATGCAACCCAAATTGACCTTGATCGGGACTCAATGATCTGAATTAATGACCCTAATGAATGGATATCCTTGGCATAATTAATTAAAATATATATATATATATATATATATATATATATATATATATAAAAGAAAAAGAAAAAATTCAATTATTGACTAGTCGAAGTTCGTAGCCTTTCCAACTCGAGTTATTAAGCTCTAGGAATGTTTCTACATTTAGCACCCTAAAGCCATCTGGCTTGGGAGTTGTTGGCCTAACACTTTTTACATGGGTTGATTAGAAAGCTTAAAGAACTTAGACATTGCACGGTTGTTCAAAAATAAATAAAGATGGTTCGTTGAAATTCGTAGCCTTTCCAATTCGAGTTATTAAGCCCTAGGAGTGTCTTTACACTTAGCGCCCTAAAGCCACCTGGCTTGGGAGTTGTTGGCCCAACACTTGCTACATGGGTTGGTTAGAAAGCTTAATGAATTCTCGATATTGCACGACCATAGTAGGTGATCTTTAGAGTTGATCAATAAAATTGTCAATAAGCAACAAAAGTTATGCAGTTAATAAAGTTATGCCTTGGAGCCCTCATTTAGAAGGAGATTTAAGGATGTGAAAATATGTTCTTGAGATTGGAAAAAGAGGGTAAAAGCCACATATTAGGAAACTGGCTCACTTTCACTGAAGCTAGAGTTCATGTTATTCAAGAGATAACAATTGAAGTGTTTATATTGACCTTGATGATTGATGCATTTAAGTTGAACTTGTTTTGCCATTTTATGTTAAGGCTTCATATATACAAGGTAGTCTGTCTAATGTCTATCTTCAAAATTTTCTGCGCTCCAAATCATAGTTGAGCTTTGTCGATATTTTTGTTTCGTGATTGATGCATGTGTTAGCATTTCATTGGTCGTCATTTGCATTAAGCTCTTTATTTTGTTTTGCTAAGGGACTAGCAAAATGTAAGTTTAGGGGTGTGATAAGCGCCGAATATTACATATTCAAACGCCCTGTCTTGCATTAGTTAAGTCCATTATTAGAGGATAATGTATAATTTTAATTCAGTTGTGTATTTCTTTCTAATTTTAGGTTTTTTTCCCAAGAATGATCAAAGAAGCGGTTTTGACAACTTTTCGTTGAAATACATGCGCCGTGTTGGGGAGTCATCTTTTGGACTTGACTTCTTCTGTTGCCATTTTGTGAAGTCATGACTGAGTGTTCCTCGTGGAAGTGCATCCACGGTCCAGCGTGAAGAAGCCTTGCTAATATAGTAGAGGCAAGCTCTCGCGGGCGCCCGCCGAACCCCTAATCTCTCTGCCCCATTTCGCGGGGCCTTGCTGAGCCCCCGTGGGAGCCCCAGCGAGCCACCGCGGGCGCCCGTCGTGCCATCGCGGGTGCCCGCCAAACACTCCAGTCCCTCATAAGCCACCGCGGGCGCCCGCCGACCTGCTGCAAGCAGCTCAACTGCCCTTGAATTTCAACATTTTTGTCTCCTTATCTTCATTTTGTGTCGCTTAGCTTGATGCAGAGGGGCGAGCTCGGGATTTGGGGGGTATGGTGAGTAGGTTTTGATTGGAATAAAGAAGAGGCACTCATCTCATATCTCATATCTCAAGTTTTGGGGGAGGCAAAGGGCTAGAGAGAAAAAAGAGTGTTCTTGAGTTTAGGGTGTGAAAATGGAGAGTGGTTCTTCCTCTTCTTCTTCATACTTTATAATTATGGCTAACTAACTCCCTATTTAGGGAGGTGATGAAGCTCCATCTTGTAAGCATTGCTCTATTTTGATTTATATTTGGGGATTAATGTATATGTGTGATTTTTCCATGAACTAGAGCAATTTATGTTATGTAAAGAACTCCAATGCTTATAAATGATCATTTTGGGTTAATCATCTTGTTTTAGATTATTTTTCTCTCATGATTATATTGCTACATTTTCATAGTGACAATGTGGATGAGTTCATGGAAGTGTTTTTATTGGTATGATATTTAGGAATTTTGATAATCTATTGCTTAGGGCTTTCCTTTGATAGATTTTTCTTGATTTCTATTTCATGTGCTCCTAGTATGAGATTAAGGGCTTGATGATCTATGGCTTGGTGATCATGTCTAAGGTTGCATTCTAGTTTAGGTGACCAAAACATGTAGTGCTTTGATAGGTTATTCTTGCCTATTGATTTTATATTTTTCTTGAAGGAAATATAGCTACTTTATGTTGTTATATTCTTTGGTCATTTATATATGTTACTTCCCCAAAGTAAATTATGCCATAGCATGCTTAGTGATAGGTAGTGAATTCACCTCCCTAACTCCCATTTCTTATTGTCTTTATCTCGTACTCCCTTGCATTCTCAATTTATGCACATTTTAATTCATACTTTTAGTGACAATCCAACAAATCCTCTATAAACCCCTTTATCATTCTAAAAGATGATTCTAGTTACTTAGGTTGCCTTAAACTAGCAGTCTTAGTGGTTCGACTTACCCGACCAATAGCCCTATTTTACAATGATTTGTGCAATTGCAAATGTTGATATATAATTGACAACCGATCACCCTGCTAGGTCTAGGTACTCATGCCCACTCCAGGTGCGTTTTGCATGATGCCTACTAGTCAGGTTGAGACTGTCCCGTAGTTAAGTGAGAGTCCTTTAGTGTGGATATATATATATATATATATATATATATATATATATATATATTTACGAACTATTTAGTTATTGTTGAGTTATCTAGCATGTATCTGCCTATCGGGTTTCTCTATGGATTGTATTAGGATGGAACTTGCTAGTGGGCCTGACCCACTTTTATTTTTCAAGTGATCATCAGTTCTAGGCTTAGAGTTTGATCGTGTTGAGTAAATACAGTCACTCACTCCTCCGACTACATAGGATTTCCTTATATATTTTAGTGTTGGGTTTTGATTCTGTATTTTATTTTCGATTGGGATTATTAGGGGTTTATTAGATGGATTCTCAAGTTGTACGGATTGGAAAGTTTAAATTATATTAATGTATAATCTTTTGGGGTTTTTTAATTTAGAATTCTTTCAGCTTATTATTTTATTCTTATTTCATTTTTTTTTTTTTTATATTTCGTGTTCAATTACATATTAATTGTTTGATATCCCTCGAATCTGTACTCGGACTTGATCACCCGTGACTCTAGAATCGAGGGGTATCACATCTACCAAGCTTCATTGTTTTAAATTAACAAATTCCTTAGGAAATAGTTTGTTGGATGGGATTCAAGAACATTTTCATCTCATTGAGAAGGGAAAGGCAACAAAAATCTTTGATCCAAGCTAGGAAGTAGCCCAACGTTTTACTAGAGATATTAAACACTAGCTTCGTAGAGTTTTCAAACTCTATTTCTCCTTTATTTCTTTTTTATTTTTCATTCTTGTGTCGTCTAGATAGATTCCAAAGTGCTTCATTTTAGTTTTTGGAGCCATCAATCACAGATTCTTGCGATCAATCGTCATCTGTAGGGTGCCATTTTGCCTTGAAAACAACTCTCGGTATCCATCGTTTGTGAATATTCACGATCGATCGCCAACCTTTCAGATAGATCGCATTGGACCTTTCATCTTCTCAAAATCATTCATGAGTCATCACGATGGATCGCTGACCTATCGATTGTATTGGGACCAAAATTCTTTTTTCAAAAGTCAAGCTTAGGTTATGAACGATGGTACCTGATCACCGATCGATCGCATTTTAACCAATCATTTTTCAAATTTTGGGCCCCACTTTCTTCGCCCACTGGTATTCTAACCCCTCACCTAATGCCTAAACCTTTTTTTTTTCTTACATTTTATTTCTTCCTTCTTTCTTTCTTTTTATTTTCTTTCTTTTCTCCCTCTTCTTTCTTTTCTCTTTCACTTCGCCTCCATCTTTATCTCTCTTCCCTCTTCACCGAATCACAAACCCTAGCCCCCACCTACTCTCCCCTCTCACCTTCTCTTTCTCCCTCATCCCTCATCTCTCATCTCTCATCTCTCCCCCGTCTCTGTCAACCACCACCGGAGCAGTAAAACCCTCCCCCCTGCGATTTTCGGCGCCATCTTAGGCCGCCGTGTTCTCTCTCTTCCGGCGAGCTCTTGGCCTCATCAGCCGAGCTCCTTCTTCATCGCGGTCTGTATTTCATCTCGGGTTTTCTCTCTTCCTTATCTCCGGCCATTTTATGGCCAAGGAGAAGCGATTATCGCCCTCGGCAGCTCTCTGCAATTTCCGGTCATCTTCAGTCATCTTCTCCGGCCACTGTTTCACTTAAATCTTCCCGAGTCTCTCTCTCTGTTTTTCTCATCTCTTTCTCGGGTATGTTCAGTTTTTCATTACATTTTTTGTTTTTCATTTTATTTTTGTTTTATATTTCTTTGTATGTATATGCATCTATGTTGAACCAAAATTGATAATAATAATAATAATAATAATAATAATAATAATAATAAATAACTGAAAAATTTAAACAAAAAATATTTGGACTGAAAATTGAACATGGATGTTGAGACTTGACTGTTTGGTAACCTGTGATGATGTAATTTGGAGTTTGGGGCTGTAATTTTTTATATGAAAGGAGGGTGGGAATTCTGTATATGGTGTTTGTTGTTACTGTGAACTAAATTTTGGGATTGCTGTGATGTTGGCTGTGTATAAGAATTTTTCTGAAAAACTTGTGAAGGGTTTGATCCTGATTTTCTAAAAATATTGGGCAGGACTATGAAAGGAGGATGGGATTCTGTAATTTGGAGTTTGGGCTTTGAATGGAGATTGTTTGCTATTTTTGTGTTGGAGATTGGGCTGTGATTGGATTGATATATATGCGTGGTTTTGTGTTTGAAAATTCTGTGAGTTGAGAATTGAAACTGTGACTGTTATTGCCTATTTGTGAAGTGATTGTTGAAAATTCTCAAAAGGGTTGTGGTTTTGAAAATGTTGCAAATTTCTTGAAAGTTTTTGTAATCTCTAAAAATGGAAATTGGAATGGAATTTGTTAAATGAAGTGAAGTTTGTTCCTAATTTGTTTGTTGCACTTAAATTGTTAAAAATGGATATTGGAATTGAAAATTTGAATTGTGAATGGAAATGATATTGTTTAGAGAAAGCATGTTGAAATTTTGAAAGTAAGTTGAAAAATACTTGGAACTTGTTTGGCATTGTAAGTTGGCAATTTTAGAGTATGTCCCCAACTTCATTTAATTTGATTAAAGCCTAAGTGTGGAATTGCGTAGATGATTGTTCTAAGTTGTTTAATGCTTGAATGTTGTGACTTGAAGTTAAAAATTTGTTTTTTCTAAACTTGAAAATGAAGTGTCAAGTCTATAAACATGCAAGTGTTGTGAGATGGAACTTTTTGCAATGTTTTGATCTTAAGATATATGCTCATGATTGAGCTGAAATTCTGGAATATGATCTTTGAAAAATTGGAAATCTCATTTGTGCACAATTTGTTGGTTTTCAAAAGTTGAAATTTAGTTTCGGACTTTAAATTTGAAATGTGAAGTTGAGTTTTTAAATTCCTTCAATTGTTGAGTGATTCAGTGCATGATTCTTGTGAGAATTCTTATCTACAATGCATGTGAAAGTTACAACTCCAAAGTCTCTAAAAATTTCATTTTTGAAACCAAGTGTTGAAATTTTTCAAAAAATAAAAATAAAAAAAAAAATTCCAAAGTGTCCTTAAATGAGATGAATTTGTTCCATTTGCTTCATTCTTCATCCAAATGCATGTTTTGAGCGCCATTGAGTATATTCGTATCAAATTCTTGATTCTTGCCAAGTGAGGGCCTCTTATGATATCTTGTGAGCTCATTTGATGTGAACTTGAAATTTTCTTGAAAATTGTGATGAAATGTCAACTTGAACCCAACTTGTTGAAGTCAAATGCTATGATGTTGCAAATAGAGTTAAATTGACCCAATGTGATTTTTTTTGAGTAAGTGTTGTGATTTTTAGAATAAAATGCAAGTTTCAAGTTTGCATTTTGGCAGGCGCCCGCCAATTTTGGCATCCGCCCGCAGTGTCAGCATAGCGGGTGCCCGCTGCACTTGGCGCTCGCTAGCAATGCTCATTCCAACTTGACTTTTGGCAGCCTTGTCTTTCGTTTTGCTTCGGCTATAACTTTTTTGTTCAGACTCCGAATCATGTGATTCTTGAGTCTATCCTTATTTATTTTTCGTTGTTTATCCAATGGTGTGCACTGTGGCACTCATTTCTGTTTGAAATTACCATTTTGCCCTTAGTCCATTTCTTGGAGGGTTTTGAAATCCTAACTTCCATCTCGCTTCCGTTGAGTTATGGGACTCCTCGGAAGGCCACTTTGACGTCCTAAGGACAATGTCCATCTCTAGAAATCTTGTTCCCTTTTCGCTCCCACATTCCGAATCCGTTATTGGGTCAACTTTCGGGTTATCACAAATGTACCGTGTTTGTAAAACTTATACCGTCACAGAAGAATTTTAACAAATGAAATATTGTGAATATAAAATAAACAAACATGATTTTGGTAATATAATAATATGCATAAGAAAATGAAGTTTTTCTAATATATTTTTTTTAATGGAAGTGAGACAGATATATTCTACATTACTTTTATCTTGTTACGGAAAATATTTTCAATGACGAAGGATTGATGGTCTTACGGTCCACGAGACATATATCCTTACCTCGAGTTAATGTAATTTCGTGCATGCAAACTTCATCTTTTAATAATAATAATAAAAAAAATAAAAAAAAAACTTTGACCAAAAAAAAAATAAATAAATAAATAAAAGGCATGCTTAATAAAGTAGATAATAAAAGAAAGTATAAATAAGGAAGTATAAATAAGCTGTGTGGATATTACTAATCAATAATAGGTTACCTTATAAAAGCTGAAATATCCATAAGCATCATATAAAATTCATTTTTATCTTTATTTTCTTTTCTTAGATTGTGCCTTGGTAAAGATTAATTAAATGCTTGGAAGTATACGGTGAGAATCCAATAAATACTTAGAAGCAGATTGTGCAACACTTTCCTTTTCGATGTTATATTGATAATAAGCAATTTGACGTTGATCAAATTTTCATCGGCACACTAAATCAATTTCGCATTGATAACAAGCAATGCGTGCAAATTCTCCCCCTTTGCTTGTTTAATATTATTTTGGTCCCACCAATGTAAAAGTAAAGTAATAACATCCACGGTGTTGATAGTTAATTCTATCATGACTATACCCACGACCATGTTTATGATCGTGAAATGAACAGATTTCACTTTAGAAATCGTTTTCGATCTAGTGGGACTAGTAATATCATAATAAAAGCTCATAATTTTACTCTGCCCACTACAACAGTTATGTTTTTTACCAGCGTTCAGAAATGCTCGTGAAAGACTTCATTGAAAACCACTGGTAATTCCAACGTCGGTGTACCTTTATCAACGTTCTTTAAGAAGCGCTGATATTAAGCCTTTACCAGTGCTTTTTTAATGAGCCTTTACCAATGCTCTTTTAATGAACACAGGTGATTATCCAATTTTATTTTATTTTATTTTTTTGAAGAGGATCTACGAACAGGTTATGCATACACACAGCTGATAAACATATAGCAGAAATCCCATGAGAAAATATCTTTTTTATACATTCGACAAATATCTTTATTATACATTCAACAAAGTTGCATCACTCCCTAAAAACAGGAGAAACCCGAAAAAAAGAAAAAAAAAAAACAGATGAGTAGATTTGCAACTGCCTCTGGCCCATCTTTGAAAAAAATAAAAATCAGCCAATAACATAACCAATTCAAGAATCCCAACAAGTAAATAGGCATGAACTATGTACAATACGGGTAGAGCTGAAAAGGGAAGTTTTCAGGCTGCAGCTGAAGCACACCACTGGGCTGCTGCTCTTCTCCATGGAAGGGAAATTGATCCAACACTTGCTGCAGCTGCTGTCCCACTAGCTTCAGTTCTGTCATGGCGCGCTGATGAATCTCCACCTCTAAAACTGAAATTCAAGAATATTAGACGTTACAACGTAAGCTTAGTTATAAAATTGCAATCGGAGCCCAAATCATTCAGACCCACCAACAACAGCTGTAGAGCCCAAGTCATTCAACTACATTTCATTGCATTTTGATATAACAGTCATGGAACCAAGTCAACAACTGCAAAAACCATATCTAAAGAAGAGAGGAAAGGGTTAAAAAACAAGTTTTAAGACTCGTTATCCCTTTTCATCATCAATAATCAATTAATTTTGGATGATTAGATTAAACAAACACAGTTTGAAAAGCTGGATGAAATTAAAATTTTTGAATACTTTCTATATATAATTTTGGATTATGACCTCAACCCCAAACAGATTTACAATCTGCAAAGACTGAGCATGGAGAAAAAAAAATTAATTTTAAATATGCCTAATCCCAACTGACTCATCTGCTACTTTTCATTTGTACACACTTTTTTTCCCACTCTGATGGAAAAAAGAAAAAAAGAAATGACGTGTTGGAACTTTAAAGACAGTTAGAAAATACCCGAGCCAATTCCTCCACTGAGATCACTCTGTTACCCTCCTGTTCAAAATGCTCAAATGTTGTAGATGCAATCTGCTCCCATCTTTCAAGAGCCTCCAGTTGATATGTGCTGATTGCAGCTGCACAGAACTCTTCAAAGTCCATCTTCCGATAGGACAGTGGCGCCATCTACAATAAAAGACAACTGACAAGCACCAGAGTCAGGAAAAGCAATGTTAATTTTAAACTTGAAAAAAGAAGAAGAAAATAATTCAGTGTAATATTCAGGATTCACAAGACAAAAAGCACTTATAGAAATGGAATATGATAAAAAAAAAAAAGGTCTATAGATTATTTAATTGCTGCAGATAACCCTGGACATGTTCCAACTAATACGAAGTACCTAACTGAAGTTGTCGTTAAGTAACAGGTATTAATTTAGCTTAAAGATTGTTTATCATTAAATAAACATGTTACCAAGCAAGAAAATCAAGCAAAAATGGTTATTTCACAAGGAACTACTCATTTTATAAGCATTTAAACATGCAAAAATATCATAAACACCAGAATAAATATCAGATACAATGATCATATACTTTTTCACTGAGCAATAATGATCCCAAAGTCCTCACCGCATTGAGAATATCAGGAATCCTTGACTCCTTCATTGCGTCAGTTGCATTTCGCACAATAGCCTGCAAATTTGTTTTCAGTTCTCGTTTGACCATAAATTTGACTTTATAGGAAGGAATGAGGATAAGAAAACTGGCTAACACAGAACATAATTTCTTTTATCACATGATCATGTCATCTCCATAGTTAGAACAATCATTCCCTGAAATCATAATCAACTTCAATTTAAGGATCAAATAGAAAGAAAGGGAAGTATTTGAAATTATCAAGCGAGACATGTCCATCTTTGTTAGGGTCCAAAAGCATAAACTGAGCTCTAAGATAAACCAACTCATCCTCTGTTATAGGCTTAAAGCTTTTGAGAGAGCCTGCAATCGAAGAACAAACAACAATAACAAAAATTATAACTAAAACCAGAATCTTCAATCAGTCATGATAATAGCATGAAATAATTTTACGGGTATGACTATTTTCAAGCCATCTAATTGAGGCATTCAACATATAAAGCGATCCACAAACTCAGCAAGACAGATAAGCTGAGTCTGTTTTCAAGCAGCTGTTCTCCAGCTTCATGGTCAAAGGAAGATGGGTGGAGAATAGATGGTCAGAATATTCCACTGGATGTGTGTAAGCCCATTTCTAATCCGTTTTCAAAATAAGGTAGGCTTTCATTCAAGGCAGTTGATGGATGAAGATAAATGGGACTCGATTGAATGTATCAATATAAATATCCTTAATTTCTGTCTACTGAAATTCCTCTGTAAAAATGAAATGGCAATAACTCATCTAAGTATCATGACTTGTACTTACCATTCAAAATAAACAGAGACCCCAGTAATACTAATGCTTTAACTGATAAACTCAACGTGAGAAGGATGATACACAGAATTGATGCAAAAAAATTAATAACCGTGGCTAAAGTGATACAAAATATAATTACAATTCCCTTATAAAAGGAAAGTAAAATGTATATTTATGATATAATACTCAGCTAGTAAAATAAAATTCAGATTATTTTGACACTGTACAATTAAAAGATTCAGAAACAGAAAACACATGATACAGAAAATGTAATTGGATTCCTATTTGCAGGCGGGAAAGTTGAAAATTTTGAGTACAGAACAAATATATATAGACAAATTCTTGAATGCAACAACTAGCTGTCTTATTCTTCCTTCCCTCATGGAAGGGGAAAAAACAGGATTAAAAAAAATGAAAAAACATGATAAAATGAAAAAACATTAAATCAGATTCAAAATCAGAACAATTTTTTTCCCAAATTTCCTGTGCATATCGAAATAATATATGTACATACGCATATATATGATCCAAAGTTTTACTTCCTCTACATCTCTCATCAATCAAAGGGGGAGCGGCATTAATCAAATTATAAAAAAATTACAGAAAAAAAAAAAAAAATAGAACCTCGTCCTTAATCCAAAGCTTGTAGAGGGTTGAGAAGTGGAGGTGTGGCCCTCAATGTCCCTGTTTAAAGCAGCAGTGAACGCCTCCACATCCGCCCCAGAATGCATAGTTTCGTCATGTAAACGTATCAGATGATAACAACTTAGATTTTACTATCCCAACAATTCCCCTTTTTTTTACAAATCCAATAAATTTCAGCCATATATATATATAACAAATATGCGAACATATTCAAACATGTATTGTGCAGTGAGAGAGAGAAACGTAAGCTCGTCCTCTTCAAGAAGCTTCATAATGGAAGGGTCCATCGCAATCTCCCTGAGAATGAGATAGACGTGTGTGTGTATATACATATATGTATGTATATAGGCGCGAGCCGTGTATGAATCAGTTGCGTTTCCGGTGAATCCCTCAACTTTAGAAAGAGGAGAGAAACAAGAAATCGGGAGTGAAAAAAAAAAAAAAAAAAAAAAAAAAACAGCGGGCCAGCGGCTGAAGCTTGCGAACGGTGAACCTGAACTGGACCAGCGGGCGATGGAAACTGAAAGATATGGGTTTTGATTTTTTGAACAATCTGAAATGATATGCCGATATGGGTTTTGATTTTTTGAACAATCTGAAATGATATGCCGATATGGGTTTTGATATAGGTAATAGGTTTTGAACTTTTGATTCTAGCAGACAGATATGTAAACTAAGTATTATGGGTTTTGAACTTCTGATTCTTGTAGATTTTGTAGTTTGCAGTTGCAGAGAGAGAGAGAGGGTAAGTTCAGAGTTGAGAACGAGAATAGAGATGGAGGCGACTGGGGAGGCTGAAGAGAAACCTAGGGCTTGAAGTTTGTAGATTTTGTAGATTGCAGTTGCAGAGACAGAGAGAGGGCAAGTTCAGAGTTGAGAACGAGAATAGGATGGAGGCCATTGTGGAGGCTGAAGAGAAACCTAGGGCTTGAAGTTTGTAATGTCGGATGAGATTGGTGAAGTTAGAAACAAATGATAAATTAAGCAAATAGTAAAGTGAAATAATTTTAGTAAAATACTTTTCAATTTTAAAGAAGTACTTTATATTGATGTGAGGAGAAAAAAAAAAGTGAAATCCTCACTTTCTCTATCTTTTGTACTATAATAAGGAATTACTCCCTTTTATTATAGCATTCAGATTTGCTCTCTCTCTCTCTCTCTCTCTCTGCAATCAACAAACCCTTAATGAAGCCATCACCACCCAAAGTGAAAAAGAGATTGCTCCACGAATATGTGCAGGGAGAAGAAAGAACATACGAATCCACCGAGAAAGTCAACCTCACCGGAGTTGGCGAAGAAGCAGACGATGAACAATTACGATGTCGAAACGTCTGCGTTTCATGGCGGAAGTTGTGACTGTTCATTGGGCTTTCTTCATGAGCATAGCATTTCTGGACTTGAGCAATCTATATGTAAAAGTAGAGAGTATTGGACACACAGGTGGGTCTCGATGCCTAAGAAATTATCTTGATTAGAAGCAAAGAGGCCGCTTGTAGAGGCCAGAAATTGACTTGGGTTTCAAAATTGGAGATGACATGAAATTCTTGTGAATCGATCATTTTTGTACCATCCGATCAGAGGCCATGTGAGAAAAGTAATTACCTTAATTTCAAAAAGCAAAGGAGAAAAGCAATTACCTTGATTCTGAAGATGGGTGAAGATGCGTAGGTTGTGGGTGAAATGGGTTCGCCGAAGTTAATTTTTGGTGGTGGGGTTGGATATGGTGGTGGTCGGATGTGTTGTGCTCGCCGTTGCTGAGCACAATATCGTTGGAAGTCGTCTACCGTTTCAATCCATCTCGTCATGCTGGTTCAACGTCTTTTCTTCGTGAGGGTTGCAAAGGCACGGCTAAGATTTCGGCTGCTGTTTTTTAGAGAGAGAAATATAACAAGAAAGCAAAATTACAATAAAAATTATTAAATTTACTTTATGTTTTTTACTTTCAAAATACTAAAAATAAAATCTTCTTATTAAATATGATTTTACTTTCTATTTCATCTCAAATATGATTTTACTTTTGAAGAAAATAAAAATAAGAAAGTGAAAGCACTCATAAAAAAAAGTCCCGGTGATTCCCTAATTTGTTATAGTGGCCATAATCGGACCTGATATCAGTGTACATGAATTCACACATTCAGCGTGATTAGTAAAGCAGTGGGATCAGTAAAGTATCACTTTGTCAATATATAACCTTCAATAAAATTTTCTCTACATCAAATATATTATAAATTTACGATAAGTGATATTCTTTTCACATATACTTATGAGTAATTATTTCTCCACATCATATCAATTTAGCTGATTATAAATAAGGCCGACTTATATTACTCAATAATTTCATAATTCTGCAACCATAATTGCATCCATTCATATAAGCTTTTTAGAAGGATCACAATACTCTGTGAATGTTTTTGTTTTTTTTTTATTTTTTAACCATAAAATAAGTGGGTCTTTTACCGTGAGATATTCAATTTTCAAGTTATCATAAACTGAATGCAGTCCCAAAGACGTTGAATTTAATCTCAATATCCATAAAATGGATCTCATAAAAAATAATATATTGTGCCCAGGCAACATAATCAAGCCTTTATCATGTGTGACATGTATCAAGATATAAACCATAATATGAAGAATGACATAATATTAAGAATGACGTACCATGATCACTATGGTTTATATAACAATTTAATTAAAAGATTAGCTATGATAAAATTCCAAAGGTAATCATACAATTAATTTTGTACTCTATTTGATTACCTGTAAAAATTGTCCAAGATTTGGACTTGTGCCCAGGTAAACTCTTTCTTTGTCCATGAGCGTGAAACTGATCTATGCATAGTATCATAATTATAACTAATAACAAGTAACTCGGTGGTTAATAATTACATTTAAGTGCATGGTTTGATTTTTAAAGTAAACATTCTTATTAATAATCACTGATTATTTTCCTCCCATTTCAAACTGAACCATAGAGTTAAATCCACAATAAGATAGCAAAGAGAGATAAATAAAGACGAGACTAATAACAAAAGAGATGAAGGAAATATACTAGTAAAACTGTAATCAAAGTAAAAACTGAATCATATGGCACATGTATATATTTTAGTTGCTGGTAATAGCTTCACAAACATTATAAATAATTTCACCCTTATCCCAACAATTGATTTGAATATAGATACTTAGAGATATATAATAAGCGTGGACAGCCAAAAAGTCTTAACATAGTTATATATATAAATGTAAACCCATCTGATATATGCCAAGTAACCAAGAGATTATACATCGAGGACCGTTACCAGTGGTCCCCAAAATCTTATTTATTCAGGACATAAATTTAAGGGAACGGATCCTCTCCAAGGGAATTCCTCTCCTAGTATCTCCAAGGATTTAATTCTATAGCTGTTATAGTGCCACATTACCATCTTACCACTCCCTCATTAATTTACCAAAACTTAATTAAATATGGTATTTTTTGGATTCCAAAATAACAATTACGGCTGATTCCCCATCTCGCTCATTTTACTTTTTGGTACTAAAATTTCCAAATAACAATTATCATTAAGCTTCATTTTACTTTTTGGCGCTAAAATTTCTAAGATAACAATTACCATTATGCTTCCCTCTTTCAATTTCCCTCCACTATCATCAATCTTCAAGTATAGACGGCAATCTGTCCAGTAAATATTAACTTTTTTTTCCTAGTTAATACTCAAACACAGAAGGATCAACTTTAGTTTCAGGTATACACAAGCAATTATGTGTATATATTTGTGTATTTAAAATATATATATGTATAATATGATAATCCAGAAACGTGAATTAAGCAGTGTATGTGTGTTTGTACACATATGGATGAAAATAAAAAAGAATCAACAGTTCAGTAGAGAAGACGATGCAAGTTTTCGAGAGAGAACACGGACGGTGTAATAAGGGCGACAAACTCGGCGGTCGAACCGAAAGAACCGTGAATTAGACAGTGTATTATCAGATAGTGTATTTGTGTTCGTAAAGAACAAACCAAAATCAGATTTATCAGTAGTAAAGTTACAAAGGAGATTCTATCTTTGACGAAAAAAAAAAAAAAAAAAAAAAAAAAAAAAAACTAATTAATTTAACCAACCATGACAATCCAAAATGAGAGAGGGAGGTTTTGTTAATGGGTTCGAGATGGTTTCCTCTGATTTGATGATAAGTCTGAGTCTCCTCAGAAGAGATTAGGGCTTCGTTGTTTACACCTAAAATATTCTTTTTGTAAAATGTTTTTCTTTTTAAAGTAAAATATTTTATTTTATTTTTACATTATCTGTGTTCGATAAAAGATCCATGTCATTGAGGTTAATTCCATCAAACATGACATGTAAAATAACTCATCGATAATTAATGAATAAGTTATTTTTATTAAATTTTAATATATTTTTTGACTTTATTAAAATTGATTTAACGAGCAGTAATTGTTATATTGGAATCCAAAAAATACCATATTTAATTAAGTTTTGATAAATTAATGAGGAAATGGTAAGATGGTGATGTGGCGTTATAACAGTCATATGATTAAATGTAACAACCGCGATTTTTTTAAGAGACGTGTTATATATATATATAATATATATATATATATATATATATATATATATATATATATATATATATCGTTAGTTATTTATATAAGTAGATAAAGCTATCATCTAATTTATTTTGAAATTTAAAGGAGTTTTAATTGAACTCAACCACTACATATATATGTATATGTCTAGAATTAGTTGTATTAAGTTTTTATCTACGTTGCTATCCCGAGGATTCTACGCGTTCGTTGTTTTGAAGCGAAGAAAAGTTAGGCAAGTTAATTCTTGCTTGTAACCCTTTTTATATATTTGTGCTAAGATCACTATTTATGATTTAATTATAGAATTCATGAATTTTGATTTGGTTAGAATGGTGGAGATTGCATGTCGAAGCATTGAGTTAATCTGATGTTATAGATTTGTATGATGCTATATTCTGCACTTCTGGATTATTCTTGTATAAGGATACTGTGGAGAATTACTAGTGATGCTTACAAGTCATTTTGGAATTTTGTCAATCTCTAATAGAATTAGCTTTGAGTTTATGACGCATCTTAAATTTTACATAGTTTATGCGTTATTATTCCTCTGTTATCTCATAATGGTTATCCTAGTGATAAGCTTGGGTAGATTGTTTTGATTTATTAATTGTGTTTATATAATCATGATTTAAAGAGAGACTGATATTATTGTAGGGGTTAGGAATTATATATCAGTTAAATTGATTACATGTATTGGACTTTTGTGTGGCCTGTACTAGAGCACTATAGTGCATACGTATTCATAGATGACACAATACCTATATTTACATAGATTAGGTTTCTAGTTTTGTTGTCATTAATATAAATTATTGTCAGAAGAATTTGTTTCATAACCTGTATAGTCAGTAGCAAAACAGATATTGAACCAAGATGAGATGATTATTTTTAACCAATTAAGGACTGGTTTATGGGTTATGGGTGTTGGGAAACGTGTAAGTTTTTAAAAACTTTTGAGGGATTTGCAATCATGGATCTTGATTCATCGCATAGAGACAAGTTTTATGCAAACACAAATAAAAGATGATGTATAATTCAATAAACAGATTGAATACTTACATCAAATGTCTGAGTAAACCTTTTAATCTTTCCTCTAAAGTGAATGTTCTCACTTATTGTATACCCCTTTAGTAAGATGATTTCTCATTCTTCTTGATTATAATCTTCCCTTTAGGAATCAGCAACATGCATTGATGAATGACCTTGGAATCTAAGCTTGTGGTAGCCTCCTTTAGAAGAGAAAACAAACCCTAAAATCTAGAGAGAGAAAGTGTATTCCTTTTTCTTGTTCTCAAAGTCACTCCTAAAATATCCATGGACCCATGTATATATAGGCAAAATAAAAATAAGAATAAGGAAACAATAAATCATTCTCCATTTCTAAATCAACTTTCTCAATTCTAACAGAACTCCAATATCAACTTGGGCTATTGGTGAGAATCCTTTTGGGCTTACTATTTCTTGGCTCCTATAAATTAATAATTGGTCCGGTCCATTAAACCATAGACCCAATTCAATTAATTCATAAATTAATTTCTACTCCACTAAAAGAAATTAATTGCACTCTAATTAAATAGTAAATAACCTCTAAGTCAATGTTGCACTTTGACCCCTCTATGCTTAATTATTTATCGGATAATTAAAGCCATCAATCTGACAACATAATTAATATAATTATTTTGTTACCTTTGATTATTTCCAGCTCGATCACAATAAAATATTTATTTGACAAAATAATAATTTACTAAATAAATATATATAGAAAACATTTGTCTAAAACATACGAAGGCCTTCGAATTTAATTTGTGATCAACCATAATCAAAACAAAATAAATATAAATAGCACTGATGCAAATATTGAGAGTATATACCTCTAACTATTAATTACATAACTACCCAAAGTGTCGATCTAAGGATCCCGAGGTATCCGCCGAACAAATCAAAGTAATTATTAATTAATAAAAGAGTCTATACTTCTCTCATGCTTAAGAGTCAAAAGCCATGACTGTGATAGAGAGCAATTGCATATGACAGCTCTCGCAATATATCTCAATCTATCATGGACTCGGTTCAAATCTTAACTAATTAAATGTCCATCTATAATTACCGATTTTGAACCATTTATGATTACTAATTTATAACATAGTATTAATTGCCATTACATACATATATAAATATATCTTGTAATCAAGTGGACACAATCAATTCCATAATGAATCGAAAAATAATACATTCCATTCACCAATTGTATAATGTTTTAATAATAATATTCAGATA